AGAAACATGATCAAACAACAATTAACTAATGCGTTGGTAAATGATAAAGAAAAGAAAAGAAAATGCATATTGCAAATGGGCAAATAATACACTGGACAATCTTTATTTGATCGTTCAAAGACAATACAACTAATAAGGGCAACCGATTAGCGTCGAGTTAGTTTCAAATCATATTCATAACATAATATGTGCTACACAGATAAATACATATTGTACTATATACAAAAAATGAATTCTTGCTCGATCGTGCGTTTGATATGTCTACATTTGTTCATGGTCGGGTTAAGAAACAGATTGTGATAGAACTACCAAAATAGACCATTTAGTGTGTTAGTTACCTGAGCAACGGTCTGTTCGGCAATCGGTATATCCTCGTTGCGCAGGTCGACACGTTTCACCACAGATGACGGATCCGCGTCCAAAATGATGCTGCAAAATGTGCAATGTGCATTAGTTGAACCTTGAGCTTTCGGTAAGCATTCCGGACACTTACCCGCCATCGCAAATCTCATCAAAGGCCAGCATGATGATCTCTAGATTCTCTAACACCAGGCGCTTCTCCACGTTCTTCTTGAGGATGAGGCTTATGGAGTCATACAAACAGTTGAGCACCGACAACAGTATCAGCTCGTTCTCGTACGCATTGCCCATCACATAGAAAAACAAGTCCACGTTGCTTTTGTAAACACACGTCAGACCATCGAGCATGATGATTTCAGTGTTGGAACGGTGCGTCTTGTTAAACAAATTTTTCTCGAACGCCTTCTGCTCCTTCAACGTGGACAGTATGTTTTTGTCGTAGTATTTGGCCAGTATCCGGTTGCCGTCATTGTCCATGATACACATGCCCTTAATAATGTCCTGCAAAGTAGGGGCATGTCAGTTACCGATGCAATTCATAATAAACATTGAAATTGTTGAATACCATCATAAATCCGTCCATTTTGTTGCCAGCAAAACACAATTATTCACGGTTGCCACGAACTACCCAACACTGGTTTCTTAAGCGGCAGCCGTGGTGGCATTCGATAAGCACAGTACCGACACAGCTGATATATATTGAGTTATCGATAATGATGGTTGTTGGACTGTTAAGCTGCTGTTAGCTTGAATTTGTTATCGGTTTTGACAGCTTAAATGTTTTTCAAATAATAGTAACGCTTGTTTGCTTTTCCTAAAACGTAATGTGCTATAATAGAAGTATAAAAAAATTATAGAACATATTCATAACGTACTAAATTGTCAAATTAAAATACGCACACATCGACACTTTTGCGCGCTTGCAAACGAAATTTATCACCTTTACTGAATTATATTTTGTTGATAACTTGATGTAATGGATATTTTGCCAGAAGACGGCACGGATCAAGACATTAAAGAGCTTAAAGAAGGAAAAGACGTTAAAGTTAAAGAGATCAAGGAGGTCAAAGAAGAAAATGTCGTTAGCGAAGCGCGAAAACCGTCTCGACGCAAGCACGAACATGACAGACCGGAAATGCATGTGGTTGTCGGGACGACAGTCGTGAGGCCAAAACCGGTCAAGGCCGAGGGCAAGAAGCTGCGCAAGAAACTGCTCGAGTTTGAGCAGGAAAACCAAACGCTGGCCAAGACCATAACTGACAAAAACCAGGAAATTTCCGCGCTCAAGCGCTCGGTGGACTCGCTTAACGAAGTGCTTAATTCGGTGCCAATCGATGAGTTGCGTTGCAATTCCTCCATAGCCGGCTCCAAGATACTGGAGCTGAGCAAAAAGAACCGCCAGATGCGCGCCGAGCTGGAGCAGCTAAAGAATCGCGTCAGCAAGAAGGATGTGCAGATCGAGAAACTGGAAAAGGAATTGAAGACCAACGAGGAGAAGTTGTCGATGAACGGCGAACTGCTCAAAAAGGGCAATGCCTCCGACGAGCTGCACGCCAAGATCAACAGCATGCAGCAGAAGCTCTTCGAGACGCGTAACAAGAACACCGAACTGCAAAACCAGCTGAAGCTGGCGCACAAGTGCCTGCAGCACGAGGTCGGCGAGACCGTGAACATCAATATCTTGGCCAACAATCTGAACCAGGCCAATTGGCGGGGACGCGCCCAGCAGATTCTATCGCTGCAGCAGAAGCTGCAGGAGCTCAAGGCCCGCCTGGACACCTACGAGAATGGCTTCTCCGATCGGGCCGACTATATGCCCATACCGCTAGGCTCCGATCTGGACCTGGGCAGCACCAACAGCATCAAATTGACGCCACGCAGTGTCAAGCTAATGAATTCACCGGGCAGACACAGTTCCTCGGTCAGCCTGGGTGCCGGGGATGGTGGCGGCGCCACCTTTGACCGCTTTACGCCGGGCGTGCGCAAGAGCGAGATCTTGCACAGGGCCAAGGTTGAGACGCTGGAGAAGGAAATTACCGCACTGCAGGCACAGCTGGACGAGCAACGCAATCGCACCCTGGCCCTCAAGGTGCGCAACAAGACCCTCAACGATGAAATGCTCAAGTACAAGATGCGCTACACCGAACTGGAGGAGCAGTCCGACTACAGCGGCATGAATGTGTCCACCATGAACGAGAAGCTGAACCGTCAGCGGAGCCAATACGAGAGCCGATTGGAGGATCTGCGCAACGATGTCATACGTATTACCGAGGAGCGCGACATTTCCAAGCGCCAGATGGAGGAGCTGAGCGGCATGAATCTGGAGCTGGAGACCGAGCTGAAGCAGAAGGATTGCTGCCTGCAGGGCCTACAGGATATGATCAAGAAGCTGGAGACGGACTTACGTGCGGTAACTGGCGGATTTCTGTTCTCCTGTCGCGAGTTCCGTAAGGTAAGTCAAATCCTAACTTATATTTGTGGAGTATATGCTAAAGACTCTCTGCAGGAAGAATTTGTGGGCATACTGGATGCCCTGGAGGTGGAGAAGAATCAAATGATGCTATTGAACAAAACCCTGGACGAACGACTAGAGGCGGAGCGTGTCAAGAACGACGCATCCACGGATCAAATTGCCAAGCAGAAGACACGCATCTCGCGCATGGAGGCCAAGATACGTGATCTGGAGAAGGAACTGGATGTGCAGGCAGATCGCAAGAAGCGCAGCCAACGCATAACCGAATACGCCAATGCACTGGGACGCACTCCACTGACCGGGTCCATTAGTTCGTTCAGCTTTGACAACCAGTCGCAGTGCCAATCGGTTACCTCGCTCAACTCCTTGCACTGCGCCGAGCCAAAGATCGAGGACATGAAGAACCAGTAAGTGGCATCAGTTTACCCCCAAAGTGACCTTAATTACTATCCTGCCACACAGATTGGAGCTGGCCAATGAGAAGATCACCATGCTCACCGAAAAGCTGGAGTACATAAGCGCCGAGAAGCGCGCCGATGCCAAGTTCTTTGAGGAGACCATGGTCAACTCCAAGAATATCATACTGGACACCATACTCGGTTCGCGCGATGCCGGCCGCACCCAAGCAGATCCCAAATCAGAGCCAATCGAAGAGTTGCCGATCAATGACAGTGTCTGATCACAACGAACAATGTTTTATGTCAGTTTTGTTACCTAGTTTTATTATATTTCCACGTGACGGAAAAATCAAATGATTTGTTGTCTATGGAATTAAATTTGAACAAAAAAATGTAATCTACTTTTTCCTTCTTTTTACTTAGAACTCAGCCGGGCAAAGTAGCCCACAGCTCATTAGGGATTAGGATGGCTCCGCAATCTCTTGACAGGAGGTTTCTTCATCTAGGCAGAAGGTAAGAGTGTCCGATTATGTACAAATAGAGGTTCCCCAAATCCAAGTAGTGTGTCTTCCCCTTGTGCACAAATAAAAACATTCTATTTTTTATGTAATTTTGCATTTTATTTGTAACACATTGAAAACGAAGCCTTTGGCGCTGCTTCACTCGATTTTTATTTAGTTATTTTATTATAATTGTTTAATATTTAGGCATATTTCATAGTACAATTGCATGTGGCTGTGTGAATATTCATAATATTTATTTTATGATAATTAATTATTGCAAACTTGCATTAGTGTGTGTGTGTGTGTGTGTAATACCATATATTGGCTATAAACTATGCGTTTGTAAATTATGACAATTACAACGTCTCGTCCAGCTGCTGCTGCTCCATAAACACCCATCACATATATTTATTATTCATATTGTATGTAGTATATATTTTGTGTATATATATTATAATGAACAAATTGTGTATCAATCGGTTTTATAGGCTTGCTTGAAATTCGTTTCGATTTCGTGTTAGTCATATATTAATTATCTCTCTATATGTAGTCTATGTATTTATGTATTATGTTATGCGATAAGCCTAGTAAATGGTTTATCTAAAAAACACGTTTAGCAAATTAAAGGCACTTCAAGGATTTTGTTTAACGAAACAATTTCAAATACCCTAGAGTTATATAGAAACAAAAACAATTGCAAGTGCTTATATTATTATTATTATTATTATTCAATTATAGGCAAAGGAGCAAAACAAAAAAAAAAAACAAGTTGGTCAAAAATGTTGTAATTAAGTAGTTAATCGCAACTATTTGCCAACCTGTGGGTTTAGGCAACGAGAATAATTCTTGTTCCTTGGGTTAGATTTTTGTATAAATTGACAAAATTGTAGGGACGCATCCAACTTTGATCTAAACGCGGCAAGCTTTTAAAAAGCACAAGTTTAGCTTAGGCTGGCTGCCCTATATATGTATGTATGTATTTATATATAGCTGCCGATCTGAACATTATACTAACTAGGCTGCACTAATTCACTGTTGTCGTGTATCAAGTATATTTGTTAGTAATATTTTATTTTTCATTATGTCTTACAAATACTAGACTCTAATTCCATTAGAAGCTATTGCTAGTTCTGTGACAATTGAATTTGTTAAATCGTTTAGCTGGCATTATAATTGATTATCGATTAACTATGTATTGTATATAGTTCAATAAATATTTGTTATAATTTTTACGGGCCGTCTGTCCACTTGTAGATAAATGCAGAATTTTGGCTGGGTTAGCTTTTGGTCGCTTAATTGGAAAATCTATTTGCTTTTCATTCAGAGTTCATGTAAAATTACAAAATCTTGTTGCTATCAATTTGTTTCTGTTTTTTGTTGTTGTTGTTGTCGTGGCTTGTTTATTATAATTGTTGTATTATTATTGTATATGGTATATATTGGGAATATTCTTATAAATGGCTTATGGTTCTTCTTGTTTCATGTTTCGTTTTTTTCACATTATTCTCTATGCTATTAATTTTACATTTGTTTGCTTCACTTTTTTCTTGTTTCGTTTTCATTCTGTTTTTTTTTTCTTTACATATTGGCCTGTCGACTATATATATACTCTATATATATATATATATATATATTTGTTTGTGTGTGTGGTTGTATGTGTGTGTGGGGAGGGGGTATATTTCAGCGCCGCCTAAAAACGTGGTTGAAATAATAGTAAATGTCCTGTTCCGCCTGCTGCTGTTGGGGAGTCTTTCGTGTCGCCTGCTGCTGCTGCTTGGGATCCACTTGCGGATGATAATTGTTGTAATGATGATAGCCATGCATATCGTACGGATTACGGTGTCCCGGATGCATGCCAGGATGTATACCCGCAATGCCGCCGCCGCCGCCACCGCCACCATCGCCGCTGCCGCCGCCACCCACCATTGGATTGCCCGCGCGCATTAGATTTGTGTGCATATTGCGATCGGCGAGAAACACATTGATGAAGAAGATGAGCACGAGCAGTATGTACAGCAGGCAGACCAGTATGACCACAAACTGCTGGCGGCAGCAGCAGTAGTAGCACATTCCCTATTATATAACCGCCTGCTCCACGTAGTTGGCGGGCAGCATGCCGGTCTTGCCGGTGCGCTCCACACGCCCGGTCATCCAGCCGGAGTCAATCGATTCCACCTCAAAGATAACGTCGCCCTCACGAAAGCTAACCTCGTCCACGTCCTGCGCCTCATAGTCGTAAATGGCGCGATAGACGCGCTGCAACCAGGAGGAAAAAACGATTTGATTAGCGAACTTATCTTCCTATTACTGGGTTGACTACTTACCAGGTTGCCCTGGCGCGAGTGTTTCTCCTGGAGTGAAGCCGGAGGTTGGCGCACCTGTTGCTCCTGCTGCTGCATCATTTGGACCTGCTGATAGTATTGCTGCTGCTTCTGGGCCTGCGCCTGCTCGGCGCTGCTCAGCGAGCCGTAAATGCCATTAGCGGGATCTATGTCCGTGATGGAGCCAATGCGCTTGGGATACACGCTGTTACCTGTTCAGAGCAAAGCATATGTTAGGCTTAGGGGGCGGGGCAATAAACACACACAATACTAAATGCAAGACACGGGGGACAAGGACAAGATGATACGTGGATGCACATCGAGCTGAGCTGAGCCGAGCGCTACCGAACTACCAGCTAGCCTGTAAGCCCATCTCCTGCTGCTGCTGCTGCTACTTACCCACGCCTGCGGCGCCGCGCTGATCGGAGCTGTACACCAGTGTTGTGCTGGAACGTCCGGTGCTGGGCATCGGCCTCGGTCCATCCGTCAACGGATCGTAGTCGGCGATTTTGCCAATGTTGTTGCTGCTGTTCTGCTGCGCAGTGGCGCTCGCCACGACGGGCAAATGGCCATTGCTGGCCTGAAGCTTGGCGCCTATAGCGTTCTCCGAGGGCGTAACCGGACTGTAGTTGGGTGCCACATACAACTGTTGCACATTCGTGTTGCTCTGATGCTGCTGCTGCTGTTTTTGTTGCGGCTGTTGCTGCTGCTGCTGTTGCTGTAGCTGCAGCTGATGTTTGCTGTTGTTGCTGTGCAGGCTCGCCTGCGAGCGTGATTGTTGCTGTTGTTGCTGCTGCTGCTGCTGTGTATAGCTGAGGCTGGCCGGATGCGGATGTGCCAGGCCGCCGCCATTGTTGTTGTTGTTGTTGCTGCTGTTGCTGTGAATGCTGCCGTTGCTTGCATTGTTGTTCAACAGGCTGCTGTGCGAATGCTGCTGCTGCAGCTGCTGCTGCTGGCTCGCCTGTTTCAGCTGCTGCTGTGAGTGATGTTGCTGCAACTGCTGTTGCATTTGCTGCTGCTGCAAGGCCGTTGCCGAGTTCTGACTATGATCAAACTGATCCGCAGCATTGCCACTGGGATGATGTGAATTCTGCAAAATAGCCGAGCGCAGCTGATTGTAGCTATTAACCGCCTGCGGCTGCTGCTGCTGTTGTTGTTGTTGTTGCTGCGGCTGTGATTGCTGCGGTGTGGGTTGCTGCTGCTGTGGCGGCTGCTGCTGTTGTTGTTGTGGCTGCGATGTTGCTGTGGGATACAGATGTGAGGCTTGTTTAATGGCATGTTGCTGCTGTTGCTGCTGCTGCTGCTGCAGCAACTGTTGCTGGCGCAACGCCTGCGTCTGTTGGTAGAGTGCGTATGGATCAGCCAGCGGCTGTAGCTGCGGGTTTTGTTGCTTGTAATTGATCATCATTTGCTTCAGCAGCTGCTGTTGCTGCTGCAGCTCCTGTTTCTGCTGCTCTGTCGGCGGCTGCTGCAGTTCCTGCAGTAGCAGCTGTTGCTGCTGCAGTAGCTGCTGTTGCTGCTGCTGCTGTGTCAGCTGCAGATGTTGGTGTTGATATGTGGGCGTAATTGCCGCCGTGTTGTATTGCTGGTGTTGTATGGGTGGCGGCGGCAGCGTATGTTGTTGTTGCTGTTGCACATAGTGTTGGTGTTGTTGTTGTTGGTGTTGTTGTTGGTGTTGTTGTTGGTGTTGATGTTGCTGCTGATGCTGCTGCAGTGTTGCTGGCGGTATGGGCGAGGCTGTGGGTGCATATTGCGATAATTGTTCAGCTGCCAATTGCTCAGAGAAATATTCCGATTCGTCTGCACAAAGCGAGTTTTTCATTGCCCCAGTTAGTGTTAGGTTGTGTGTGTGTGTTGGTATTGGTGTTGTACAAGTGTTGTGTAACGTTAGGTTAACGGTAGTTCAGAAAGCACACACAAATTATGAGCGCAATTGTTGTTGTTGTTGTTGTTGTTGTTGTAATTGATGAATGAGCAACAAATGATAAACAAATCCATAAGCAAAAACGATAAAAAAAAGAGGGTATCATAATCAATATTAGTTACACGGTGTGGAAAGAAGAGCTGGGTTGATTTGTTTTAGTGATGAAAAATGGATGAGGCAAAACAGTGTTGCAAAGTTCATGCGTTGTGGCAAATGAAGTGTGGATCAGTGTTGAGCAATTGATTTGTGTGTGTAAACAATGTATTTGTAAGTTGACAACACTTTTCAAGCCAAACAAATAAGCCTGGCACCACTGTGCGCACACATTATGCGCTCTAATGAGCATAATAAATGATGATTTAATCAGTTTAGTCACATTTAATGCATGTGAATTGACGACAATTCCACTGATAAACGCAATTCAAACAAATTAATTAAACCAAACAAAAAGCAACATTAACTCAACTTAAGCTAATTGTAGCCAAAAGCTTCACATTGCCAGCAATTGCCATGAAAAATGACACAGATATATGTATATAATACAGAGAGGGAGAGAGATGGAGATGGGAGACGGAAAAGCGGTGGAAAATTGGATACTCACTGCTGCTGTCGGAGACCTCCGCAGAGCCGCGCTGCTTCTCCATGGCGGCCTTCTTCTCCAGATCGCCATGATATGCCACATTCGATATGTGCTTCGTGTTTTGCCTGATTCGCAGCGTTTCCGGGTCGTCTGCCACCTGTCGAGGAATCAGTGTTAATTATAATGATGATGATCAAGATGGAAATACCGCACACACACACACACATATTTTCTCGATTAACTGACCTGTGTAAATTTGCCTTTGGCCTTCTCAAAGTCAGCGTGGTATTTCACATTCGATTGGTGTTTCGTATTTTCCGCGATGCGCTTCAGCTCGGGCGTATCAGCAATTGCCGTTGCCTTGGCCTTGGGTATGTGCCTGCAAGAGAGAGATAGTGAGAGAGAGAGGGGGATAGAGAGTGAGAAGGAATGCATGAAAAGCTAGCTGAGATGTCGGCATAAAGTTCATATTGCCGCCGGTCAACTTTATTATTTCTTTTCGTTTTTTCGACAGACTGCTGTTGAAAATTTCCACTGCTGCATTGCGGAAATAGCTACAAAAATCTGTTGCTGTTGCTGCTGCTGTAGTTGATGTTGCTGCTGTGGCGGGTGCTCCGCCCACCCTGTTGCCGCCGGGGTCAGGGCGCATATCATTTGGCAGCACTTGAACGCATGTTCCGTCGCTCGTCTTTAGTTTCGTGTGCAGAACCTCTGACCTCCCCCACCCCCCACCACACACCAACTGCATGCCAGTTGTTTTATCAATTAAAACAGCATTTGTGGCATTTTGATGCGGGATCGCATTTCTTTTTTGATTTGACTCCCCCAACCTCAGCCCTGGGGCAGCTAACGGTTAATGCATGTTGCAGCGAGTGAATGATGCGGTTTAAAGCGCAACTAAATGCAATTTTCGACCACAGCCAAAGAAAAGTTTTGTGTTTTGTGGCATAAACTTAATTTCTATAGCATTTATTTTCGCTTGAAGTGTTTGGCAGTTTGAAAAAGGGGCTGGCATTAGCATAAGCTGAACGATCTTTAGAAAGTGTCTGGATTATAAGAGAATACCATTTATGAATCACTCCACAATTGTATTAAATAAATGTGGGCCTTAGTTGAATTCTTGAGAATCGCATATAGACGCAATATTCAAATAGACAAAGATAAATATAGGTGGACTTTGAATTCTTAAGAATCGCAAATAAACGCGCTAGCTAAGACTAAAATATGGGTGGACCTTACCTGAATTCTTGAGAATCGCATATAAAGGCGCGTTAAAAGTACATAGATAATGCGATTCAAAGATGGACTTCAAGTTTGAGGGAAACACAGAGAGTAAGAAAGGGAAAGCAGCCATTTCCGTGTTTAAAATATTATGGCTAACAATAAGATAAGAATAATAAAAACACATTTCCCTTCCCTTTCTCGATATTACAAATAGAAAATTTAATTTATCGTTTCAATTTTTGAACATAGTTCAAAAGCGACTACGCGCTATTTGCTGTTTATTAAAACCACAAGAGTAATTGTTGTGTAATTGGAATGTTATCAAATTGCAGATTTAAAGGAAATAGAACACATAATACCCATGTTATCAGACACAGTGTGTAATTGTGCGAAAAGCTGATAGGAAAAAAATATGTTGAACAATAGCAAGAAAATGCAATATGCGATATATGATTAATGCTACCCAACGGACTAATACATCAATTTAATTATGGCGAAAAAAATTGAGCAAAAAAAGCGGAAACCAAAGCCAAACAAACAACATTGTAAACTATGCACACGAGCGCAATATGTAATCATAAAGTACACACACACACACACACACACACATACATACACATATATAGAGTGTATATATCGTGTTTGTTTGTTTGTTCTGTCGAGCATTTTAACCTATCAGTTGGCTAATCGATCGATTGATTGCAACTCGCAACTGATAACCACAGCAACAACAGCAGCAGCAGCAGCAGCAACAACAGCAGCAACTGGCAAAAGGTTGATAAACCCATTGCCTGGCCGTTCTTTAGCTTAACAAACACACCCTCCCACCCCCCCTCTCTTTTACACTATGCCCCTCTCTCACTCTCTCGCTCTCTCTTAGCCGTATTCATATTGCAATTGTAATTGCGCGCAACTAAATTGGCTTATAGAATATTTATGGACACATCGTACGTATCGAACGCAGCTGTCGCCAGGCGCTGTAGTTGGGCAATAAAGGGGGGCGTGGCTGGAGGAGGGGCTGGGTCGAGCTTTAAGAATGGGTTTCGCTTACAATTATTTAGTTTAATAAATATTTGTGCAAATTCCAATACAGCTGCTAATTTAGTTTGGTTACAGCGAGAGCTGGCGTAGCGCACCCTCAATTCTAATTTGTGGTCAGCTGTGGGTGGGGCACGGGGAAGGGGGCAGATGGGGGCGTGTGTGTGTGTGTGTGGCGCAAGGCCGTTTAATGACCAATGACCGGTCGCTCATGCATGTAGGCCTGCAGCGCCAGTTGTTGCTGTTGCAACGAGCTTTGCTTTAATGCTGCAACAAAGGCTGAGTGCAGCTGCAACTGTTGTTGTTGGTGGCACACATTGTGGCTGCTGCTGCTGCTGTTGTTGCTGTTAGCTGGCAATGATGACATAACAATGCTTAAGCGCCAGCGGCGGCATTGGCCAGAGCAACAGCAACGGATGTCTCGGCACGTTCCCAATAGATCAGCAGCAGCAACGGCAGCAACACGCACGACAGCAACAACAACAGCAGCAGCAGCTGCTGTGCGTGACATGCAACTATTGTTGTTCTTGTTTACGCTACTTTACTTTTTACTATCAAAGAATTTTAATTTATCTGTAAACAATATACACACACAGCAACAAACTGCTGCAACGCAAACAGTTTTGTTGCCATTGTCTTTTAATATCCTATAAACAATGTGTGTATATAAGACATGATATATTTGATATACTCTGTAGCTTGAAATTTAAAGCCCCACAAATCAATAAGTATGAACATATCAACTATCTAAGCAATTAATAATTACTATAAATATACTTTCGCAACAGCTGTGGCCTTAGCTAACATGTTTATATTAACATAACGCTGTTAAAAATAAAGTTTATGCAAATGTTATCTATAAAACATTTTGTGCAAGCTTTGATTTATACTGAAACTATTTTGAGCTGTTAAAGCAGACTTTTCACTAACATTTTTACATTATGTTAAGCAAATTAGCACTGTTAATAACATGCTTATGTTATGTTCAATTACATAAAACTGTTAATAATTGCATCAGTACAATAAATAACCGATTGTTTTGATATTTATATGCTAAGTACTCATATTTCTTAAAGATACCTTTTAGATTTTAAGTGCACATCTGTTTTTCGCTAACAGGTTCATTCTATGTTACGCAAATGTTAGCTGAATTAACATGAATAACATGTAAGTTTTATATTTCGTAGATGGTTTTATATTTTCGTCTCTTGGTAGCCGCAGAGCATCTGTTAGTCGTTCAATCTGTCGGTTGAGCAGTCGCATGTCATGTTGTATACTGTTCATAACTTAAACGTAAATTGCTGTTGATAGCAACCGGGCAGTGTGTCTGTCCCTCTGAAACTAGACCACGGCGAGCTGACCAACAGACGAACGAACGAAACAAATAACCCAACACATGGAACGAGGAAGGGGAGATGGATGGGGGTTGAGGGGAGACACATTCATTGATGTCAACATTTTTGCATGTGATTTGTGGATTGCTGTGGAATTTTTTCCCTGTGACAAGCCCTTTGTTGGTTAACATTTTGCGCAATGGATCAATGGCGGGCGGGCGGACTGTCGGATTGTCGAGTGACAGCAGCGGACTGATAAGGCGATGCCTCAACAAAGGACATGAGGAAATTAAGAGTAAAAAATACACAAATTGTGCATTAAACATTAAATTGTTTAATTAACAGATAATTAAAATAACAGGGAATGGACTCATGTTACGATTGTTAGAGAACATTTAAATTGGAATGCGCAAATTTCGTAAAGGAAATCATATATTTCAGGGAGATCCTTTAAAGGGGTTCCAAAGGGGGAAGGGGCAACATATGCGATTATGCATAATTGCCAGGTCAGAGCGTAAAAATGAATTGAAATGCGATTAAACGCACATAATCATCATCATTATAATCGAGTGCTGCAGCAAGTCAATTATGAGGGGCTGAAAAACTCGAAAAGCCAAAATGAAATTGTGGAGCTCGAAGCTCGAATGCATTATCGGATTTGGGTGGCATCGGGCTGCTGCGTCGCCTGGCTCGATGCGTGCTGAGATTTTAATTCCCCTCCCAAGAGCTTGGCTTATTGAGGAGTAGAAGGATGGGGAGGGGGGGGGGGGGTGGGCACTGGGTGACACACCCAGCTCATTTGGGCCACGCACCTCACAACGGATCGAATCGGGGCTTGTGTATAGTTCCGTATTGTTCGCGTTGTGTTGTTTAGCATAAAAAGAGGCACAGCCAAGTGGCCTACAGCTTATTATTATTTTTTTTTGGGTAATTGAAAAGGTTTCTACCATTGTATGCGGCTTAAGTAATCAAACAGCGACTAATGGGGCACACATCTATATAACATATATATAGAAACCTACATGGGGCTGATTTTTATTCCAAATGAAAGTGAGCCAAATAAATGTGGAAAAAAAAGTAGGCGAAATTGATGTGCCAAACGAAATGAGAAGAACTTTCGAATAGAAAAAGCCGTAACATATGGCCAATTGCTGAGGAATGTGGAGCACAGCACACACATACACTCGCACACACACACACACATTGCAGAGAGATTTGAGATTTTGGTTACGGAGGGCAGGGCCATGGTTCACTGGCTTTTTATGTTAATAAATAAATGTGCCGATGCGAATATAATACACGAAAATGTTGCTTGTTCGTTGTGGGCTGCCAGTGCAGATGTTTACAGTCTTCTCTCGTTTTTTTTTTCAGATGAAAAATGGATGAAATCCAAACACAAAACTAAAGAAAACTGCTAAAGAATATCACACATATATATATATATATATATCATATATATATATAAACAAAATAAATGTGAAAAAATGTGGAAGCAGGCCGACAAACCTTTCAACTCGTTTTCTAGTTCAATTCCAACTAAATGTAGGAACTTGGAACCTGGTAATGTAATGGATACATGAGCTGAATAAGCCTTTGTGTGTGTATGTGTGTGTGTGTTTTGTTATCCTGCTGCCTGCCTCCTCCTGTCCACGTTTCCTTGAAGACACAATTGGGTTAGAGCCCATAAAGGAGCGAAAGTTACAGGACAGCAGCTGCAAAATGTTCTAGGCTTGAAAACTTGAACAAAAATTTCATATGGAGGGGACTTTCAGGAAATACACTTCGCATTCCAATTAGCTTTCGATTTGAGCTCCACAATTGCCAGTTATCCCCCTAAGAAAAACAAATCGCAGCCCTTACTCGCTGCTACTCTCATGAATTATTATCTTTTAGACTCGAGTATTTGATTGCACACTGAAAAAAATAGCTGAATAATTGCACTTTAATTCAAGTATTTTTATGTGCTGCGTTTTTGTAGTGCAGTGTAGCATATTAAGAGCTGTTTTTGATTTAAAGTCATATTTTAAACAGTGCTATATGAATTTCCCTCTTTGATATTTCCCTTTTATTATAATTATTATATTTATTTAGGCATTGCATTTGATATTCTGTTTTTTTTTTTTCAGTGCTGCGGCGCAGTTCTAACCCTTGACTCGACTTATCCAATTAAAATCAGAGTTCCGAGTGGCGCTCCACATGTGGCAACTGCTACTGATAATTGCATGTCTCCGGCGCTTTAAATCTCTTTAGTGTATGCTACATAATTTATTACAATCGTTATTCCACGGAGGGCAAAACTTTTGCTGACCCCACCAAAGTGGCTGAGAAACTTGCACACAGTCAGAGGAAAAGTGCTGGAAAAACTTCTCAAGCAATTATAAAATCCAAATAGGGAGTGAATCGAAAATGACTCCGGCGTACGTGCCGACGGACACGCCCACACAGAAAAAAAGGGCGTTCGAGCTAAAGGTGCAAATGGCGACGGCTCGGGCGATGACTGCAAAGTGAAAGGTGAAAGTGTTGCTAAATCGGAAGCCCGGCCACGCCCCAATTGGGCGAAATACTAATGCAGCAGCCTTATGCAGACAGATGACATCATCGGCCGCTGGCGGGGATCGGGCTAGGTGTGCTAGCTCCTGGTTCCTGGTTGCTGGTGCCGGTTGCCTGGCCACTGCGTCAGAGCAAAGCTAACGGACGCATAACTCAATCCGCATGGAATTTTTATTCCCGCAGCGGTGGCATCCACAATAAATCTGCATTAGAGACATGGCCCGCTGCAGCTCGCATCCCGCTTGGCTCAAGGCCAACAAAAACGGACGAACTGACGGACTGCCGGACGGGTGCACGCACTGCAGTGCCAGCTGTGGGGCAAACTCTGGATAACCAGCAACCAGGCGGGCACACAATGCTCACAATATGACAACATAGAGAAGGGAACGCTCCATTGAGCTGCGTGCCACACACACACACACACACACAAACACACTCACACACACACACTCGCACACATTTTAGAACAATAACATTGGGGCGTGGCAGTGGCAGTGACTGCCGCCCCCCTTCACACACTTGCCAACACACACACAGAGAGATAACTACAAGTACAAGCGTGCTGTAGTGCAGAGTGCCTGACCAGGAGATACCCTGTAAGCAGCACATACATTGGAACTTTTTTCGCAGCAAAACAACAAAAACTTTATGGGAAATGTGTTCCTGCATAACTAAGGTATTTACAGACCGATCATTATGAACTTTTCAGTTCTTTATTATGAAATAGATGTGTGTGTGTATATACCTAAGACCAAGGCGATATCTTCAAGTATTGGGTTTTTCTTTAATCTAAGCTGGAGCGGGATAGTTATCCAAAAAGTGACATAATTATTCTCCATACACTATGAGAGTGACCTAAATACCCAATTTGGTGTGCCTAACTCTTAGCTTTTCAATATTTGTATAAAAAAAACAAGTTTCAAAATCGATATTTATCGATATTAGGCAATTGGGAAAGAAAAAGATAAGCTCATTCTGCGTATGATATTGGGGGGGGAGAGGAGATCACAGTCGGACTTGTCCTAATCAAATAATATACATGTATACTTGATTATATATAAGCAGACAGAAAAGGACATCTCGGACTTCATCAAGTATATAAAGCTTTCTGATTATATATATATTTTCCATACATAGACTCCAAGTTCACATATAGTTACAGTTATATACATATACTCCATTAAGTATTTATGTATATGCTTGATTATCTATATACTCCAAATATAGACTCCATCAAGTACATATACATATATATGGCTTCTAGATATGGAGAATATATATCCATTAAGTATAAATATATATAATCAAGTATATATACACTTAAAGTCGGAGCTGCCTTATTTCTACCTGTCACATTCAATAGTTCCCAAACATGATGCCCCTTTTCAGTCATACTCAATGGTTGCAGGGTATAAAAATCGCGTTGCGAATGGGGTTAAAGTTGCTGCAATGCTGCAGGGCAATTGCAACTGAATGTTTGTTTGTGTGTTTGTGTTTGTGAGAATCTCACTAAAGTGTCGCCGCATTTCCGCACCTTTTTAGCAGCTGCAATTCAGCAGTTCGTGCGGCAACAGCACGTGGCAAGTGTCGCCCCAAAGAGTCGCCGCCGACACGTGGACAGCTGTTGCTGAGATTTCCATAGAACTGGACTGAAATACACTGGAACTGCTGCTGGCGGCTGGTTGCTTATCTGTTCCGGGACAGGGCGGCGATAAGATAAACGACGCTAATGACGATTGCACGTCAAGGTGAGTTTAGCACCTGCCTATTAACACCCCCCCCCCCTCCTCCTCCCACCACCCCCAGCTGACGCTTAAACTTGACAGATCCGCAATAAAAATGGTTTGATTGCCACGGTTAGGTTAGGGTATTAGAATGAACGGTTAATACTTACGCCTCGCAGTATGGCATTTTGTTGTAGCCCTTGTAGGTTTTCATATTGAGCGTCATTCCGCATTCTGTGCATTTGAAACACGTTTTGTGCCATGTCTGAAACGGAAAGGAGCAAAGCAAAGAACAAGAATTAGTGAAAATTGTTAGCAAATTGTTCGCCAGTCTAATGCGATAATAAGAAATTGTTGTACAAATACCCTGCATAAATAATACGTATGCCGAGTGGGTATAATCGAGCAGAGAGGAAAAGGTATCAAATGGAAGCAGAAGTAATTAATCAACAACTCGCCAAGAAATTCGATTAAATCATAGACATAAAGCTAGAAAACAAAAGTCGAACTTAATTTAAATTCGGTTCATCTTAAATTTCATATTTAAACTAAGATTTATTTACTGCAAATTGGCCTTTAAAACGTTGGACCAAGCACAAGGAATCTGCATACTTAATACGAATAATAAGAAGGAAAATTATTAATATAAGTTATAAGCTTTTAATTGGTTTTACGAACTTGCTTCAATGCGATTAAAGTGAATTCATTTCAAAATAGTCTTGATTGTAGCTTATTCTATATAGATCACAGGGTATCCTTCAGTCAGGCATTCGTAGTCTTGGGGTTAGTTCTTTTCATTTCGTATAGTTTCATTGCCCGCCCTGTTATTGTTCTTTGCCTTGTTAAATTGGCGCAATGCAACTAAAACTGAAACTAAAACTAAAAACCAAGATGAGCATAAAAAACTTGAAAAGATTTTTGGCTTTACGAGCATATTCTAGTAGCCTCTAATTGGTCTCGGTCTTGGTCTTGGTCTGCGGTAGCTGGTGGGTGAAGCTGGCTGGATGAGCTGGTTGTGTGACCAAGGGTCGGGGTCGGGATCGGGGCAGGCCAAATTGGTAGATAAGTACTTGGAAGTTCTGTGGATGAGCAAAAGTTCTTTAAAAACTTGTTCGCATTTAAAATATGTCAGACTGACAATTATTTACTAAACAATACCCTGTAATATGGAGCATAAAATGAGCAGAGTTCAAGCCAAAAACCGTTTGATGAAAGATTTCAAGCCTCGACTACTTTTGAATACCCTGTAATATGGTGCATAAAACAAGCAAAGTTCAAGCCAAGAAGCGTTTAACACAATTTTGATAGATCTAACTACTATATAACAATTGAATACCCTGTAAAATAGTTGTTTGCAGAGAACCTTTTGCGAATTCTTTAAACTAGAATCTATGAGCAGACTTTTTGTAGCTGCTTATTCCAAGAATAGTTTATAGGCCAACTTTTTGCACAGGCTGCAGCTGCCTTGGCTATCATATCAGTTGGTTTTATTGATAAGCTTTAGCTGCGGCAAACTTCTGCCTAGCCTTCGTCTAATTTGTGTGGACTGCAAATTCTCAGCAGACGGGCTAGGAGCTGGCGTTGCCGAGGCGGAAGGAGGGCAATTGTCATGGCAAAGAGGCGACTCGGATTCAGACAGACGACGACGGCAGCGTGTTATGCAAATTTGTGAGTTTTATTCCTGCCTCATGGCAGGGTCTAGCCACAAAGTCTCTTCTTGGACTCTTGAGGTGGAGGTCAACAAACGATTAACTTGTCTGTGGATTAGCGAGCGGCGCAGCGCGAAATATGCGAGAAAATGCGTTAATTGGTTTCACACACACACACACACACACAAACAGCGGATACGGCAACCACAATAGCGTAGACGCAAACCAGACGCAATGAAGTGATTGCGATTTTATCACTAGAGAGAGAGAGAGAGAGAGAGCAAACCCGTTTGGCCAAAAACACTCTCCAACGCCAACCCACTGGGCAGCTGAAGGCAACCACATTCCAATTCCACTGAAATTGGAAGCGGTGCGGAATGCCGTAAGCCACAAGGGTCCGGTAACCCAGCAAAGTTTTCATAAATCAACGGATTTAACTTGATGATGTTGTGTTGATGACTCGAAACTTTTTAACTGAGTTGAAAAAGTTAAGACGATTTTAGCGTTAGCCCTTACAGTGAAAAATAACACACATTTATAGTTGTGTTTAGCATAGGGCCAATAGGAAATATACTTTAAATTTATTACTCAAATGAGTTACATTTTTGATACCATTATATTATTTATTAGTAGTGCATTTAGTTACAAATTATTAGATTAACTTTCTTTTTGAATAGCTTGAGATTTCGGCTAAGATAGTAAGAGAGCTTGGGATTCGAACCTGAAACCTCCCTAGCTTCGTTCCCAATGCTATATACATATAAACGTATTTTGATGGTTTGTTTATATCTTCTAGTCTTTCAATAAGAGTAAACATATGTATTTATAGTACATTCGACTCGACACCCGTGTGGTTGGCGGGCAACAGAATACCTCCACAGCATGTCATCGCTTGTCGTAGAAGGCGACTAAAAGAGACAGTTTTCTGGGTGACCCAAATCTGAGCCTGAAGGCACATTAATAGGGATGCCAATTGGGTATCCCTATTATATGTATATCTCTCTGTCTTCTATTTATCTGTCTCTGTACATCTATAATATACACTTATATCAAATAGATTGATATATTCTTAGATCCTTTTTATATATTGATTAAATTTATCAATCTGTACAATCCAGATACTCATTCTATATCCCACAGCTACCAAATATATAGATTAAGTTAGGGTATTCAGACCTCACCAATTCTTTTGTCTCATTTTCTTGTTATATATTTTGTTGTTGCTGCGCGTGAGGCGCATGCGTAACCAGTAGGATACCTTATGAGCAAGATTGAGAGAAAGAGAGAGGGTAGAGGGAGAGAGAGAGCATGCGACAGTATCTCTTATAAGTCGAGCGTTTCTTCTGTTTTCATCTAGCTGCACTTTGATGGGATTTTGATGACCATCACAAAAATTCAATTTCACTTTCACAACAAAATGTGTGTGAGTGTGTATGAGTGTATACGTGTGTGTGTGTGTGCATGAGGTAATCGTTTGTTAAGCGTTGTGCATTTCATTTTCTATGCTCGCTTTAACCCACTTTTCATTTGACGCTCGCTTCTCGTCTTGGTTTTCAATTTGCGGCTCAATTTCCAAAAATACAAAAAACGGAAAAGAAAAAAATAAAAAGTTAAGTGTTTCACGTTGTTTTCCCTGTTGTTGTTGTTGTTGTTGGGTGCTTTTTTGTCAAGCATATCGAGAGGTGTTGAATTTGCATTCGAATTTGCACGCTTTCAACATTTTAAACGTCTCCGCAAAGCGACAATAAAAAACTAACAATTGGCATGAGCCGCAGCCGCAGCCGCAGCCGAGACAGAGACCCATAAAGCACCCAACTGGGTTGGAATTGGGTTTGGGTTTGGGCTTGGGCTTGGGTTGGAGTTTCGAGTTTGGGATTTGCGATTTGGCATGGTTAGCTGCGAACACGAACGCAGCTCGCTGGGCTGCGGATTGGATTACAAGAGTCGAAGCGACCAGTAAAATGACAAATGAGGGCAAACACCACACAAACAACAACAACAACCCAAACAACTGGAAACAATGGGCAAATAAACACGAACCAACAACTGAAATGGTAACAAAACCAAATCTATTTACAAGCCGAAAAAAGAGCAACAAGAAGTGTCAAATGATGCGACTTGCTTAAAGCAGGAAACGTATTGAATAAAAAAGAAATTTATAGAGTTGGGCAAACAAAAGGTTGCATAGGATCAAAAATAAAATTAGAATAAATCATATTTGGTATATTTATATTGTGATATTTACAAAAAATGATCTACACTTATTTCATTTTGCAAAAAACTGATTTATAAAAAGTTATTTAAGAAAGTTTTATAAAACCAGAAGGAAGTCAGGATAAGTACAAAGCAAAGTTGCAGTACAATTAATTTCCCAAAGATAAAAAAGAAATCCTCGGGAAATTAGTTCCTTATGAAGTTGTCAAGAACAACATGATCAAATTGTTTTTACGAAATGGTTATCATGTGCATTACGAATCGCAGAGGAATCTAAATTCAAGCTTGGGATACCTTCAAACATTTCTGTTAAATTCTAATGTAATGCTAACAATATATTTCGAGTATTATCTGAATACTTAAGCAATATCTTAAGAAAAGTTTTAATTATATGATTATTATAAATGTTAGGAATAATCTTGAACATTCAAAGTAATATAATATATACATTAGTCAACTTCTTCTAAATTCTGAATAATTCTTATTTAAGAAAGCACTTTCTAATAGCCGAATTCACACGTACGAAATCGAAATGTGAAATTCTCGAAAGGCGGCAATTGGCAGCTGGCATTTGGCATAAGGCACACGTTTATCATCTGCCGGTGAAGATGCCAAAAGGAAACATATATCAAATGTTAAATGTTGGTTGTTAGTGAAAAACAATTCAAATAACAGACAGGCAGACAGGCGACTTCAGACTGTTTTTATGGAGTACAACTGGAGAGGGAGGAGGTGTAGGCGGAGCTGGAGATGGAAGTGGAGCACACTTGTGCGACCCACGTGTTTTTTGTCGTGTGTTGTAAACGAAACCCACTTCCACTGGCAGCTGCTCAACCTGATGACAATGCTCATGATGATGTTAAAGCTGATCATGATCATGATGATGATGATGATGATGATGCTGAAGAGCTGTTGATAATCCGGGTAGGCGGCGGCGGCGTGTGTGCACACGCTGATACGGGAGCAGCTGATGAGGCGGAAGTGAAAGCAACGTAGCCAGAATTAAACTACTTCCGCTGCTTCCTATTGGCACAGTGTATCACACAAACACACACACGAACACACACACACACACTCTCTCACACACTCCCAACTTCAACTCAGTTTCCAGCTTTGTTGTCTTTTATTTTGGCAGCTTCCGCAACGTCGTGCGGGCTGCCCCAAAAGAGCGCCAAATTAAGTTCAAGTTTGCTGCGTCGCGTTTTGGTCAATTTAACATGGCTTCCACAGAGAGCCCCAAACCCCACGCCCCTCCCCGCCCCTCGCCCACTGTCTGAGCCCACCTCAAAGCGCTCAGGTTTAAGCATATATTTTGCACGCTCTGTTTCATTTACACAACCGTTGGCAGTTGTTGTTGCTTGCAGTCAGTGTACAGTGGCTCGAAGAATTTTGGCATCAGCTT